CCCAGGAAGAGCTAAGTTTTAGTTCACTATCAGCCACAGAAGCTGACAGAGTGGCTATTGGTCAATCATTACTAACATACAGAAGAGAGAGTGCTATGCATACTATTTTGAGCTCTTGAAGAAAAGATGGAATATAAATCTAATAAATTAATTAATACATTACCAACATGCAGTGTCATATATTTAAACTTTGAAGATTTGAGGTTTTCAGGATGTCCTAGCTTTATGAACAGCAATGCTTAAAGTTGCAAATAAATCTATCAGGCTTAACTTGAAGTCATCAATTCAGCCTAAATTTCATACAAGCATAAGCATACTCCTGAGCAGATAATGTTTAGAGTAGCAGCAACCAACAAAGAGAGAAATCATGTAAAATCCCAAGGGCAAAACTTTACAGCTTCCATGATTTCCAAGACAGGAAGTCATAAGCCTTCATGGCTCAGCACTGTTCCAGCAAACTTCCTAAGCTCTGATTTCTCTCTATAAATCAATATCTAAGAAGAATTGAAACAATAGAGGCTTAGCTTGTTTATAGGTATTTAAAATGTACGGACTACAGAAGAAATTCCATAAAGTAGGGCTGTCAAAGAGAAGGCCTGATCATATCTAGTCCATGCTCCATAAATTTCATAAATTGGAAAGGGCTGTCCATGAACTCTTTAGTCCATGTTTCATAAATCTCATAAATTGGAAATGACTATCTACAGATTCTCAGATGACTGAATCAAATGGGCAGATTCAATCCAGCCAAGATATTGCTGATATATTCTAATGCTGTACCATGTAGGGTTTTAAAAGTAATTTCCAACATTTTGAATTGGGTCTAGAAACCTACTGGCAATTACTGAGATTGAAGCATTGTTACTCTACACTAAAACTGTCTTGCTGCCATATTTGCTGCCATATTTTGTATAAGGTGTAGCTTGAGTTGTCTCCAAAAGCAGCCCTACACAGAGCTCACTGCAATTGTCCAGTCAGGTGATAAATCAGGGTGTTATCTACTACAGCACAGTTGTACCTGACATAAGCAGAAGCTGACTAAAGCCCATCTGCCTATGTTTTCCATCTATTTGGTACCTGAGCAGGTAGACTTTAGAAGTATCCTCAAGTCAACTGCTGGCCAAAGGAACAACCAGAACCAACATTACCAAGTAACAAGTAAAATTAGTAGAACTTAATCTAGTCTTGTTTTACCCCATCTGGAATTCACAGCTTTCATGCATCAGTTGAGGATTGGCTTAGCACCTGTTTGTTCCCAACAACACAACTGCATAAATTCTAGGAAGAATGGGAACAATTGTGAATTGGGCTAGCAACATGCCTAAATTCCTCAGCTGTAGCAGATTTTAAATGAAGATTTTAGTGCAAAGTAAAATCTATTGGTTTCATGCAGAGAGATTATAGTGAATAGAGCTGTAACATGTTTTTAAATGAAGTTTCTCAACCAATGGCTGGTTAAACAGAGTTAGTTTAGGGATGAAATTATGCATATTAAATCTAATTTCCTCTTTATTTCTGTTCTCTCAATAGCTAGTATCACAGGAAGCAGCTTTTCTATAAAAAGTGCATTTTATAAGTGAACAAGTTTATTGGGGGAAAAAAACCATATGAAGTTGTATGGAGAGTACTTTTCTGGCCCTACAGTCTATTCTAGCCCTATACAGTAGTTTCAATGCAGCAATCAATCTTTCACAATTGCTAAAGAATGTTTAAAATGTAATACTTTCTAACTTTGCAAAATGAAAATTCACTTAGGTCACTGGAGATCACTACAGAAGTAATTTATATAGTCTTAACTGAGTAAGTCATAAAATTAAATGAGACTGTATTTTAATTTTTATGGAATCATTCACCTCGTCAATATGCTTAGTCATACTTTAAAGAGATGTCAATTTAATATTTACAGAATTAACAACACCAAAAATATATGTTTATAAAATAAATATATAAAATATATTTAAAGGCAGGGAAACCACTCAGTTTCCCATATACAACATTACTTTAAGGGACACATAAAACAGTCATTTTGTTATGACCAAGATTAGTTTCACACAATTCCTTAAAGAGAATTCTGTCTTATTCTTAAGACTTCTTTTATTGCAAGATTTGTACATGGTAAAACCACATCAAAGGGCACTATTGCTTCATTTTCTTTCATTTGCACTTTGCACCTTTATAATCTCTGGGAGACTAGGCATCAGCTCTTAAAATTAAAAAGAGAGCAAAAATATCTGTCAAGAATCTTAAAATGGACCATGGTATAGGAAATAAAAATTTCACATATCAATAACCTTACATCAACATTTTATCTTTAATGCTAATGAGACTGCATACCTAGTCAAAATTACAATTGAGACCCACTACTAGAGATAAATAGAACTGTACAGCTTATTCAACTGAAATTAACTGATACATTTGCTTGGCAATCCTAGTATTAAAATTAATGTAAGTATATAATAATTACCCCATTTGAAGAACAAGAAGCCTAAGCAGAATTATTTCTTGGTCATCTTTCTTTGGCTCTTCAGAGAAGAGCATAAAAAACTTGTTTAGTTGGAAAAAGATTGTGTCTATGAAAAAACTGATAAATTAGTAATTGGCTGAAATAAGAGGTTTCAAATGACAATGACAAATGAATAAACTTTTTACCTCAAGCCACAAATATAGTAAATGCTATAATGTGTTAATTTAAATAAATAATAAATAAATACATTTGTGGACTGGTAATCACTTTTAACAGAAGGACAAGATAATATTTGGTTGTTTTTAACCCAATGATTGTAGGAATTGAGGCCCATCTGGGTCATTCTCCTAAGAAGGCATTAGTTTCTAAAAAAGAAGCTATTTTGTTTTGCATTATCAGGACTGTCCCCAAACATATTTATATTACCTATTTGTATGATCAAACATAAAAATAATATAAGCTATTCAAATCTTAAATCTGGCAAGAAAGAATTATTCTTTACACAATCACTCCTTTCAACTCTGAAAAGCATTGGGACAGTTATCCAGAATTCAGCAACTGTTTTATTTCCCTATACAATTCTAGGATTAAACTATTTTTTTTTTAGTGAAGTATATACCAACAAGCTGTGAACCTTTAAGGGAACTGGTACACTTCCATATATTAATGCTTTTGTGCTGCTGTGTCCTCAGTACAATATGAGCAATATTTTTCTTGAACTTTGGGAATTTGCTTCAGCTCTATCTCGTGAACCTTCTGCTCATATAGACAACAGCTAGATAGCAGCAAAGAGAACTTTCAGTATATACAGTATTTGCTTTCCAGTAGCAGACATCTGGGTTTTGGTTGCCCAGATACGGTAGCTTTATCAATAGTAAACCCAGTTTTGTTTTTTTTTCAAAAGTCAATTGGACTTTCCCAATTGTTGTTTTTCTCCTTTTCCTTTCATTGAAGACGTTTCTGAATCTCTTCAGAAACATCTTGGATGAGAAAACATTTTCAAAGAAAAAAACCAAGAAACCTACCTCCAGTTGCCTTTTTGGAAAAAAAAAAACTTTTGAACAACCATGACCAGGATGATTGAGAATCTCCATAGACACAAACCAGTTAAATTAACTGGATTTATATTCTGGTTCATGTGAATAGTAGGAGTAAGCTACAAGATCCTGACAGCAGAACAAATGGACAAGCCATAATTATGCTACCTTTACTTGTACACAAATCCTCTCTTTAGCTGTAGTTCTCAGATACTACCCATTTACACTTTTACTAAGTGATTTTAATTTCACAAATGGGAGGGAAGCCCCCAGGGGTCCTAGGAATGCACTAAAGAAAAATCTATTCCTTTTTTAGGGTGGTAGTACAGGAAAGGAGAAAGGAGTTTACAGTTTTTATAGAAATTGTAGCAGGACATACTAATTTTTGAAAAGAATCTCATTATCTAATCTCATAAATGTTGCTTGAGCTTAAAACTGCATATAGGACAGAGATGAGAGGCCCTTAGTATGTTTAGAACTGGTTTTAGCTTGAATTTTTTGGCAACTAGAGACAACCCCCAGAAACTAATAATTATTAGAGATAAGTTGTAAATAAGGGGCAGGGGGAAATGTATTTGTTTTAGATGCTCAGATAGATTGTGACAGCCTAATACTCAGCCAATGAGAAAAAGGTGGGAGGCAAACCTGCAACTGGGAGAGGGGATATATAAGTATATAGATGGCTTAAGACACAGGGGTCTTCAAATGTTCACCGTACCTGCTAATGCATGATGCACCCTCTTTGCAAAATAGTAAATAAAATTACCATTGTTTTCTTTTATAGGTTTTGGCTTGTAATTATATTTCAAAACTAGGCGATTCCCACAGCGGGCATACCTCAAAATGGAATTGAGCTGACCACGAGCAATGGAAGCAAGATTATGCCCCATAACCACCTCCCCTCCCCAACTAAAGATATAGAAGAACCTGGAAAAAAGGGCAGTTACCATTCTGAAGAGTAATTTTTGCTCCTACCCCAACTTTCTCAGGGCAAGGTAGCTCGCTGGATACAATGAGCCTTGGGGAAATCGTTCCTTAATGACCAGATTCTTCTCTGGGAGAAATCACCCCCAAAAGGAAGCAGCCCTCATTTCCTTTACGAGCTGCTCTCTTAATAAAAGGTATTTAAGTTTAGGTCGAGTCAGATTCCCGGGTTAAAAGCTTCCTTCTCCCTCTTGGTTTTTCCCAAGCTCTGCAGGTCAGAAGCAGCAAAGGTGGTCTCTGAGCAACTCCGGACACGCAACTCATCCAGCTGGGACCCTCAACCTCGGAATCTCCTCTCCCTTCCCTCCTTCCAGCGCTTTTCCTCCCCCTCCTCCTCATTCACCGACTCCCTCCCCATCCCAAACGGCCCCCGTCGCCCGCCTTCCCGGGAGTGAACGTGGACCCCAGATTCGAGGGACGCCTCCCGGTTGCCAAGCAACCGACCTCTCTTCCCGCGCGACACCGAGGCCTGCTCGGCCCGGCCCAGTTAAGGAAGAGGCGGTGGCCTCAGGCCGGAAGCGCGAGAGAGCGAAGTGGGCGCCCGACCCCGGGATGCCGCTGGCGGGAGAGGCGGAGGCGCGCCGCCGCCGAGCGACGCGGAAGAGGCTGGAGAAGTTCGCCGAGTTGAGAGGTGGCTGCAAGCTCGGCCAGCAGCATGGGCTTTCTTGGTTTAGGGCCCCGGCAGTTCCTTCTTTGGATGGGTGGACGGCTATGGGAATAGGGACTTCCGCGTAATTGCTGGAGTAGAAACCAGCGTTCAGATTTCCTCCCCCTCCCCCCCCCCCAGTTATTTCAGTGGGTGAGAAATGTTGGTGGAGGGGGTTAAATGACAGCATTTGTCAGAAGGCCTTTGCTATCACAGAGCCTTGCAGATGGATTTGCAGTCACACTAAACCATAGTTTACTGAGCGTCTTGGATAAAGTGCTGTTGGCTAGGTTAGCTCAAGGTGCTCTGCCCAAATCAAACTATTACAATTTAGTATGACAGTATGAACTTGGTTCTATTTCTTGATGGGGGCTTTGTAATAAATGAATTCAACGTTCTCTATGTCGTGGTTGATGTAAAATTTATCGTTCACATATAAATTGTATTGGCTCTTTGTAAAGGAATGAGCACATCAAATGTCATTCACTATAGAAAATACAGTGTTCTCATCTTGATAAAGCTAAGCATATCTGGCCAATAGATAGATGGAAAATTTGCACATGCAAAATAAAAGCATTTTAGTTCTGTGCGAAGTAGGGGACTGCAAAACTCACAGATTTGGGAACGGAATATTCCAATGAACACCAGATATTTCTGTTGTGTTCTAACACTGTTTTTCCAACCACATTTACTTCTGAAAATTGTCAAACCTTTTCTTTGCTCCCCAAGCATACGTTTTGTACATCATTGGAAAAGCATTTAAAGGATGCATTTTTAAATATGTTGGTGTACATATAAAGCACCTCTTTTTGAATGGCTAAGCACATTTGCAGGCTCATACACCATGGACTTTCTTATGTCCAGTAAAAGCACAAAAAGAACGATCAGGAAAGCAATGTTTGATAAATAAGGTTGAGATTAAGACTGCATGCTTTCCACAGAAATACAAACAACACCTTTTTAATAGAACCACAGAAAAGATACAGCTACTTTAATCATTTAATCATTAAAGAAGTAATGCATTCATGTCCCCACACATTCCAAAGTACCTTTTCCAAATCATTTTCAATACATGCACATCTTTTGGCACCTTAGGTAGCAAAAAGGAAAGCATTAATGGACAACTATGCATCAGAATCAGGTGAACCCAAGAAAAAAGAAAATGGTTGAACTTTAGTAGCTAACTGCAGTGTAAGTTACTTGCAGGTATTTTATGGTGGTGTTGGAGGAATATCACTTGTAACCAATTGGAGTAAGAAATCCCAATTCAAGGATTTTGAGTCTTGTTTGGGGTAAGAACATTTGAAATCAGTTTGGTAATTATTTGTTATAATGAATGACATTTCCTTTTTTCCAATCAGGTAAAACTGTGCAGACTGGAGAGTTTTGGGATGTTGTTGTGATAACAGCAGTTGATAAAAAGCAAGAAATAGCTTATCAAAAACAATTGTCAGAAAAGCTGAAAAGAAAAGAATTGCCTCTGGGAGTGGATTATCATGTTTTTGCTGATCCTCCTGGACCAAAAATTGGTAGGTTTTGCAATTTAGAGAAAGTTAATATTAGCAAAATAAAACATATATACCCATACATACATTCAAAACATAATACAGTCCTTCCAGTGATGGGGCCGGAGCATTTGCAGGAAGGATGAGCAGAACAAGCAATGGAACTTATGCCGGAAATTGGAATAGAAATCTGAAAGAGCAGAATTTGCACTGTGTGGTCATAATGTAATCTAAGTTTGCTGCAGATATCCATTCATGATGCTCTCTCACCGTCATGTCTCTTGAACGCTTGCATGTGGGAAACAATAGGATTGGAAAGGCTGCCATCATTCAAACTAAATTAAGTACTTCCGTTTCTTTCATTAAAATCCATGGAATTTAAAAATACATTAGCTGGCTTCTGCCTCAAGTTTGTTAAGTTTAACTTTTCAATCATTTGCTGAGCAGAAACAGAAACAGTTTGTGGTTAAATGTTCAGTACAATTTGATTAATTTTCAGACAGATAAAAAGGTTCTCCTTCTGGTGCATATTATGACAGCTGTATCTTTTACTGAAAGATTTCCAGAATGTCATTAGAAGCCAAATTATATTAATTAAACTTTCTAAAATATGTTCAAATACTATTATTATGCTTCTTTTGATTGAAATGTGAAATTTCATTGCCATTAATGAGCTGGATGTTCTTTTGGACAACATTTCTATTGAATAGACTCTTAAGGATCTTTCTAGTTTAGGTAGTATTTGTATTAAATTTTACAGTGTCTCCATTTATAAAAACTTTTAAAAGTATTCTAGGGAAAAATAGACATCTGGACATGAAACATATATTTGAGATCAGCCTCATGATTTGTGTTGCATATTATTCAGCATTTATATATAATAAATGCTTTCCCAACCCTTTTTTAATGACTCCATCCATTCTGTTAAGGACATAGAGGAGGGCGGTTCATTGGGCAATTCTAGCATAGGAACAAATTCCATGCCACTTGTAATTTGAAAAGGAGTTAATCCTATGCTGCTGTGCCTTGCATTGTTGTGTGCCACTTCCACAAACTTCCTCTGCATAGGATTAGAACTCACAGACTTGGGGCTTCTAGACCAGCACCATAACCAGGGGTGGGATGCTACTGCTTCTGCCCGGCTCTATAGAACCAGTAGCTCTGAAGAGCAGAAGACACCGAACCGATTCTGTGTTTGCTGCTGTTTGGCCCACCTGCCCGCCTGGGCTCTTACCTGTCCTTTAATTCCTGCTTTTTCAACCTCAGCTGCTTTGAGCAGCACAGCTGAGGTTGAAAAAGCAGGAAAAAAGAGTATTTTCAAACGCTGCGCATCTGCGCGCAGAGCTTTTCAGCTGTCTGGGCAGCACAGCTTTTGGTGTTTTGTGCATGCAAAGCGCACATGCGTGCACAAATGGTCACCGAACCGGTGGTAACACCGGTTGAATCCCACCCCTGACCTTAACCCCTACACTAAACTAACTGACTGTATACTGAATTCTAAAAGGTTGATGGTGAATGTTTTGCATGACCTTGATCCAAATAATTATGGGTTCTTACTATCTAATTGGGCAAGCATATTAAAGGAAGTAGCTTCTTATCAGGTTTCTGTAATACAACTACAGAGCCTGATTAATCTTAAGATTGCCATCAGGTTGTTTTTTTTTAATGCTACCATGAAACTTAAGTAAGTCCATATATTCCTTTGTTCTGATATATCCTTGTTTTTATAATATTGAAATTAATTGGAATTTCTCAGCACTTTTGCCATCTTAAGTACAGATGAGATGTAATTATACCTCATTCCCTATCTATGTGACTTTTGTTAATCACAAATGTCCATAAATATATAAGATACTGCTCTCTGGGAGTTAGAGATTCCCAATTTGAGCAACTTCCAAACACATGGACTAACTCTCAAGATTCTTGTTGTAATCAATTGCTATATCTGATTTGGAGCATATCAGCAGCTTTTCCTAGCATGAACACAAAATGTCAGGGGAAACTACATATTTTGAGAGTTTCCTATCTTTTCCATGACTACTATAAAAATGATGATGACTGATCCAAGTTCACTAAATAAATTTTGTAGCGGTGTGTGATTTGAAGTAATATGACTTTCAAAAATAGATGTATCAGTTGGTTGCAAACTAATCCTGTTAATTCTTGTTATTCCTAAATTTAAATATATGTTGAAATGTTTTGTAGGAAATGGTGGATCAACACTTCACGCCCTTCAGTGTTTAGAAGAGCATTATGGAGATAAATGGGATACCCTCACTATCATATTAATTCATTCTGGTAATTTTTATCTGTCAATCTATCTTACATTATGTAAGGTGCACGTCTGTTTGTTTTTTCCCTGAAGAGAGTAGTGAAGATGAATTTAGTTTCTTTCCACTACAAAATTATACTCAAAGTCAGATAAACATATTTAGGTTAAATTATAACCTGAACATGTGTTTAAAATTCTGTTCAAAACTCCTTAGAGAAAGGAAGGATTGTAGAACAATACTATTAATGACCCACAAAAGTTCAGTTATTTATAATTTACATAAAGCTTGAAAGAATAAAGTATGACATTGGTACATAATGTTGAATTTGGAAATCCTTTATGATTTTTGGCAGAATTATTTCACAACTCACTAGAAAGCAGACATTTCAGTGTCCCTGTGCATTAGAATATGATGAATCATAGATTTTTTGGTCTCTTATACTGATGTTGGAAGTAGGAGGCAAACAATCTGTAATTTCCTCCACACAATGCTTAAAATAGGAGATAGGAACACAGCCTTTTAAAATGAAGGTTTATAGCAAACAAGTGAATTGTACAAGTTGAGGGTTCTTTCAGAGTTTTCATAATGGAAATGCAGGGTACATGAGTTTACCAGTTTAACATGTATGTTAGCTGTAACCTACCTGAAGAGTCCTGCCTTTGTGCTGTTTGTACATTTGGCTCTGTGAGGTATTAACCTATAAAGTTTTGACTTAAGTTCTCTGACCATACCAATCTCCTCACAATTTTTCTTTCTTTGCCATTTTTATAATTATATTAACTCTTTTATCCTACAACTTTATGTACATTGCAGATTTATTTTAGCATTGTTTTTAAAAACATTCTGTCACTGAAATATTTTATAGAATCTTTGTCCAATTGAGGTGGTTTTACTTAGAAAATTCCCCAGGTCAATGCTCACTTTGTTCATTTCCTTCTGGTTGGGCCTTATAGTCTCCTCTAAACAGTTGTGCAGACATTATTTCTGATTATATTCCGTGCTACTGCATCCTCCCATCCTTTAAAATCTGATTTAGAAGGTATGGGGGATTCTCTAAGCAAATGGTAAGAATTTGCAGAGAAAAGCGGAGGGAAGGCAAGTCCATTCATTCATAGAAGAGCATTTGTACAGCTAATCCTATACGTCCTTTCAATTAAGAAACAATTGAAGCAAAGATTATCTTAAAGTATGCAGTATTCTACTATTTGCTCTTTATGCAACATCTAAAAGTAGCACTTATATCAAATTAAATAATAATTAAGAATCTCGTCATTTCAGAACAGTTGAGGACAGCTATCAGAATTTGAATGTAAACTTTTACTTTGTAAATATTTACAACTTTTAAAAACAGTACAACCTGTTCTTAGCCTTTGTAATATTTGTATCCAAAATTCACTACATCCTGGGCTTCAGATATTCTGAATGTTCTAAGGATTATCAGAAGTTGCTAGTCAGTATGTGTTTTCACAGATCTTTTTCATACATCATATTAAAATATTTACATATTAAAGAATCAACCTCAAATAAAAAAATTTAGAATCTGTATGAATATGAATACAGGCATGCTTTGTTTATATTAAATATTCTTCATTTTTTCTGTTTTTATAAAGGTGGTTATAGTCAACGTTTACCAAATGCCAGTGCCCTGGGAAAAATTTTCACAGCTTTACCTTGTGGGGATCCAATTTACCAAATGCTTGATTTGAAATTAGCCATGTACATTGATTTTCTTGCTTGTATGAATCCAGGTGTTTTGATTACCTGCGCAGATGATATTGAATTTTATAATATTGATGCAACAGAACTCCTAAGGTTTAATCAGCCTGGATTTACTGCATTAGCTCATCCTTCCAGTTTGAGCATTGGTACAACTCATGGAGTTTTTGTATTTGAGCCTCCGTTACACCTGACAGAAAAAGAACTTGAGTACAGATCTTGTCATCTTTTTCTGCATAAGCCTAGCATTGAAAAAATGTATCAGTCTGGAGCAGTGCATAAAAGGAGCGATTATCAAACATCACCTTCTGGAGAACTGGGAGATTCACTTATGGAATCTGAGTTTGTATATACAGATAGCTTATTTTACATTGATCACACCACTGCAAAACTTCTGCTAACATTTTATAAACAGATAGGCAAACTTTGCTATGAAATAGATGCCTATGGTGATTTTCTGCAGGCATTAGGGTCTGGAGCAACAAAAGATTATGCAAAAAAGATTGAAAATGTCACAAAAGAATCAGGTCTAATAGAAATAAGGGAGAAGGTATTTAATATACTAAAAGGTTTGCCTCTCAATGTTATACTCCTAAATAATTCCAAATTCTATCATATTGGAACTACCCGTGAGTGTTTGTATCATTACACTTCTGATAGAAAAATGAAATTGGAGTTGGGTCTTTTGCCAAATGTTTTTAGCATCTGTTCAAACAAGGCAGAAGACTTGGATATATCAGCTTGTATCATTCATAGTATGCTTAGTTCAAAGTGTTGCGTTGCACCTGGTTCGCTAATTGAATATTCTAGATTGGGTTCCAAGGTTTCAGTGGGAACAAACAGTATCATCAGTTGCTGTTCCATTAACACAAAAGCAGATATACCCCCAAATACTTTTATGACAACCCTAAGCATAAGAATTGATGGAGAATTAAGGTATGCGAGCATAGTGTTGGGCATAGAAGACAACTTGAAACAGAACGTGGAAAATCTTGGAGATATACATCTACTAAGTTTTTTTGGCATTGGTCTTAAACAATGCTTAGAGTTTTGGGGCTTGAGAATTTCAGATGAGCTCTTTTCGGGGGAAAAAACATGTTTGGGTTTGTGGACAGTTCGAATCTTCCCTGTATGCTCCTATTTAAGTGATTCAGTAAAAGTGTCATTAGGGATTTTAAACTCTGTACAAAATAAGTCCCCATTTAAGTTAGATAGTTTTAAGCTGTTGTCTATTGAACAAATGCTTTGCTACAAAGATATTGAAGACATGCTGAAATTCCGGCAGGAACTTTATGAAGAAATCAATCTGCAGAAACTGAAAGAGAAATCTATTATATAGAAGTGGCTGAAAAATGTTACTTTTCCCCATATTTTAATTCAATAATGGCTAATTGCTTTCAAGGTTTCCAAACCCCAGAAGCAAGCACTATGCATTTTTTTTGTGTTTCATTGAAGTAGAAATAATGAAACTGCATTAAGACTGTTATTGTAGCATAACATTAATAATGCAAAAAATGCAGATAAACTGTTCTTTTGATGAAAACATTAATGAAATATTTCAAATCTATAGAAACACAAAGAAGGAATTTTTCTTTGCTTCATATTATTACGTTTTCAGGGTTTTTATTAATTCTAGTGGGAAATACAAGTTATTAATTAGGAATTTGATTGAAAACTACTTAAAAGTTTTTACATAGAAAAAGTTATTTCTGACAACATTCTGTTTTTCAGAATTGTTCATTGCAAATAATAAAGGTATGTTTCTTAAATGTATATTCATGACACTATTCTGTGTTTCATGTGTAAATTTGACATCCATTTACAAAGCTGCGATGAAGCTAAATGAAATGTGTAAATTAAGTAATCAAGATTTTGTTTATGTTTCATTCTAAATATGAATGGTATTGAGACAACTGTCATAACTTGATCAATTATAGTTTCAGTATAGTTATAAATAAAATACTCTGTCTAGATAATTGATTGCTTATTGTACCCTATGACTATCATTAAGTGTTGTACTTCGATTCAGATGATTTTAAAATGCCTATTTATTAGTCGATTTCTATGCCTGCCCATCTCACATATGTACTTGGTGGCTTACAATTAAATAGGTAAAACACATATCAATACAATTTTTTTTAAAAAAAACCAGCTGGAAATCATAAAAACCACTATTAACATGACCAGGAGACAGGCTGCATCACAAATTTGAACCCCAGGTTCAAACCAAAAAAGTTTTCAAGACCTCACAAAACATCAGCTGAGACTCAGAACATGTTCTTCCTGCCAGATCTGGAAGGACAGAAAATGGAAAGTTATAAAGAACTTGGTTCCAAGTCAAGAGGGGCCTTAAAGCAACTTGAATTGTGCTTCGAAGCACACTGGAAGCTAATGTAGCTTGCATAGCAGTGGCATCACGTGCCAAATAAACAGTCCCATGAACTGCCTCCACAGCCATATTCCGCATTATAGAATACTCTTCAAGAGCAGCCCTACATACAACATATTGTAATACTTCAGTCTGGAGGTCATTCTGTAAATTCTTTGACATCCATCTGACAAAATGTCGATATTATTTTCAACTAATAGCTTTTTAAAACAAAATTATGATATTTACATGTATCTTCAGTTTTCTTCTGTTCACCTGTGGGAATAACTCTGACTCCAGTATTGAGTAATGATTAATCTAAGACCTTATACATACATGTCTGCCTAAAGGTCACCTAGATAAAACAAGGAAATTAAAAGTAAACACCAGAAACAATCATGCAGCTCAGACAATTGTAAATAATTCCATGTATTATGTTTAATTATTATCCACAATGTGAATGCTTACTATGTGTAAAATTCTCAATAAAAAGGGAGCACTAGAAATTGCTCTAGACTCCCATCCCGAGTTCACTTGCTTGTGTCTCATCCTTTCCATGGGAGTCCACCACATTCACCTTTTTTGGAAATAGATTCTGAGGACAAGTCTAAAAACATAAATTGTCATTCAGAATCTAGCTAAAGTCTGAACAAATGAGAACATTACTGTACGAAAGTTTCAGGCATGAATCCAAAGCACAGAGCATTTTCAAAATATTAAATTGCCTCTCAAGTATCTTAAATCTGAAGTACTGCAAGCAAAAGCAATCTTCTCACAAAACATCAATTCAACTTTGGAGATGTTTGTTTATGAAATTAACCCCATACATCTCTTAAGCTTAGAGCTTTCCTAGTTATGCATAAAAGTGAAAAATGTAAGGAAGGATGAAGGTAGAGGAAAAAGACCAGGGGGTGAGGACAGCCTGGGCAACAGTAACAGAGTTGGCTGTGGGGGAGGAGGGGGAAAGGATTGTGGTGTTTGGGAATTCTGTGTATGCCTCCTGGAAATCTTTCTTTCTTTGCTTGGTAGTTAACTTTTCCCCTTTTCCTTTTTTTTTTTTTTTTGTGATTTCTATCTTCCTTGTTTGGCTTTGTAATTATGATTAAATTACAAAAGACTTGCACTTCTTTCATGATGGGATATACGTTAGTAGCATATGGATGAGCGAAACCAGGGAAAGGAAAGAGATAATGTCACTCACTCTGGTAGGCAAAATCTGAAACCTTGTTTAGGCAGATTTCTGACAGAGCAACATCGCCCTCCATCAGTCAGGTGTCAGTGATACAAACCAAACCTGGTCTTTGAAAAGCTCGGCAGTTAATAAGTTGCACAATAGCACTTTAAGTTAGTAAACTGGATGGTATTCTTTTTTTCTTCCAATTTTGCAAAGCTCATATGGTTACCCTCTCCTAGCTTCAGAACAATTCAGTTAAGATTGTAACGTAGATCTGTCGGTTTCTTTGTTTGAATTTAGTTACTGCTCTTTGTCAGGTTTAGTTACTGTGTTTTGATTCTTCGGGGCTTCTCAGCTGCATTCTAACCTCTTCTATAAGATTAAATTCTTGTGTTTCTGTGCACTGCAGCACCAAGTACCAATTCAATAAATAGCCTACAGTTTTTTCTCTTACACAAAACATAAAATCTTCCAATAACTTAGAGTAATGCTACCTATTCCCTTACTGACCTTGAACAGATTCCAGAAGCTTCTTTAAAAAAAAAAGATTGGTATGCTCACTCTTGCCTGTTTTCTGTCTCTAAATAACTGCCACATTTATCATTGGTCACTTTCTAATGTTATTTATTCATGTAGCTATGATCATGCTGGATTACATTTCCTCCTCTTGCTCATTTTGTCTGTAAGCTTAATGAAAGCATAAGATGTGGAAGAACTGTTTTGGATCACAGCACAACACAGCATTTTTCTAGTATATACTAATCCAATTTTTTTCCAGACTTCTATGAAAGTCTAAAAATATTTGTTTTCAAGAGTTGTAGTAACTTCAATGAGTCAAAACTGTTCCTTTGTTATTTTAAAGAAAGCACCATCTTGTTAAACATTGTTTAATTTCTTATTTAAAACCTTTTATCTTACTGTCTAAGTATCCATTTTGGAGGCAATCACAAGATATAAATCAGAGAATTGTTATTATGTTTCCAGTTACCTCTCATTAGTTCCTAATTCATATCAGTTAAATTATTTACTGATGGATGTATTGATTTATTTTTGTTTCTCTGGATTACAGATTTATTAATTTGATACTGCAGCCTGTTTTCAGTAATAATCAGATAATCAGATAAATTCATTGCTTATGAGTTTACCTGATAATTACTCAGGTAATAATATAGGGCTGATGATAGGCCCTATATTCCCTGAGCGTGGTCCACTCCTGGCACATCCCCTTTTAGCATATTTTATTTATTTATTTTTATTTATTTGATTTGCCAATTGTTTACAAGATAATAAGTATAAGTGTATACATAGTTGTGAATACATGAAATGGGTACATATAAGAAAAATAAAAGAAGAATAAGAGAAACAATAGGACAGGGACGGTAGGCACGTTGGTGCGCTTATGCACGCCCCCTACAGACCTCTTAGGAAAGGGGTGAGGTCAATAGTAGACAGTCTAAGGTTAAAATTTTGGGGGTTTGGGGAAGAAACTACAGAGTCGAGTAGAGTATTCCAGACATTGACCACTCTATTGCTGAAGTCGTATTTCCTGCAATCAAGTTTGATGCGGTTAACTTTGAGTTTGTATCTATTGTGTGCTCTTGTGTTGTTATGGTTGAAGCTGAAGTATTCATTGACAGGTAGGACATTGCAATGTATGATTTTATATACCATGCTTAAGTCACCACCTAATGTTATGCCTTCCCCTCCCACCCCTACCCCAAGGCTGCATCTGCCTCCATCCACTCCACTCAATTTCCAATGGACCTGCAATAGTGGTGAGTTCACCCATCCCTGACAGGGGAAGCCAAGTTCCCTAAAGTTCTTCAACTCCATTTGTTTTCAGCACCATTAGGGTACTCAGTACCCAGCTCCCCCACACTCCCACCACACACAAAACACAAACACACTCACACTATCATCCATAGAAAACAGCCCTTCTCACCCACTGACCATTCTCATTCATCTGACCCAGCAACCACTTCCTTGGGCTCTCATCCCAAGGGATAGTCATACAAAAAAACAAACAAGGGAACCTAACCCGCAGCCAGAGTCAAGAGGCAGGAGGCAAGTAAGCATCTCCTCCCTTTCTTTGGAGATAACAGAAGGGAAAACTGTAGAAGGTAAGGCCCACAGCACTCTGCCACTCTGGTGCTATCCCTCCCACCCAGCAACCGCCAGTACCCCACTGCCCCAAAGACTTGCTGATCTCTCCAGATGGAAAGTAGAGTTGCAGGATAAAGGATGCTGGTAACAAGAAGAAAATGCAGCAAATGAAACCCCCCTCTCCCCCTGCTAGGGACCCTGGACTGTTTTTCCAGCCGACATCAGGCCCACAGCATAATAGGTGACAAACAGCAGGTCTGAAAAAGCAACCCACATTTGTTCCTCCGGCCCATTTCTCTGGCATGGCTTTCAGTTAGCTCCTTCAGCAAAAAGCATCTCAGCATGGCCAGCTCACAGTCCAATCATTCTAATGTGGTTAATGCCTGACTTGTAAAAACACAGTAGCTCTGGCTCACTCTAACCGCTCTCATCCACTTTGATCTCTCCTTCAGTCTCTGGCTTCCTCTTGCAGTCACAGAGCTTCTCGGGGCGCCCAGCTTCTAGCAACATGGTGATCTAATAGACACATTTGAAAAATAATATATCTCAAAACATCCCAAAGTACAAAACTTTTTTTGTTTGGTAAACGCAGACCTTCCATGACAGGCAGAACACCAGCCAGATTAGTGGCTCTTACCCAATCCATTATCCTGCCCAAATACTAGTTTGGAAGACCAATGGCTCTGCTTGTGTTAGATGAAAAGGAGAAGTAAAAGTGGGTATCATTTGCATATTGATGGCTCCTCAGCTGAAATCCATGGATGACCACTCACAGCAACTTCATGAAGATATTAAAAATCTTAAGGGATTAAAATGGAGCTTTGAGGGACTCCATACCTCAATTGCCAATTA